GGRTGAGGGAGCAGAAGGGGAAACAGGGTAAAAACATACAATGCCCAGATCCATCACCAAATTGTAGATTCAGGGAAGAAGATTACTGGACACACAGTAATATAGCTAATAGTAGACCTGGAGAAAATCCCAACGAGGAGATTTTGGATGCTACTGCCTGCTTCCATGTGGATTGGAAGTCATCCTCCATGGTTAGTGGGGCAAGGCCAAGGGGTGCACGGGACAGTCTGAGCCAGAGGTTAAGTATGGCCACCCACACCCTGGCCTCCACTCTCCACCCTGGCCCCAGAGTCACCCTAGAAATACTTCTCCATTGTGTGGTGGGAGCCTGTGGTCTCTGTGGCAAAGCTGCTGCAGAACTGGAATTGCCACTAAAATTTGCTCCATGTGAACAGGTCGTTAAGCTATCCAAAAGTAATAGACATGCCACTTATAGCAATGTAAAATTTCCCAGTTGTAGGACCCTTCAGCATCTTTTCAAGCATGGAGAGGCACTGAGCTCATCACGTGAGTTAAACTACTTCTGGCAGTCATGCATAACTCTCTGTGGTTGAAAAGAGGCAGAAGTGTCCTGAAAGGAAGGAACTCTGGTAATCAACCTCATTACATTGAGAAATTTCCTCCTCGTAGGACACGTCAGCCTCTTCTCACTTCAGCCTCTTATCACATTTTCCAGGGTTGAAAAGAGACAGAAATATCCTGAAAGGAGGGAATTCTGAACACAGGCTAGCAATTGTGTTCAGAGTTCCTACCTCTTAATTCCTAACCTTTCAGTTATGGTTCCAACTGTAAAACAGGCTGGTGGGAACCATCAGAGGTACCCATCCTAGTTCATTGTCCAACTGTCAACACTCTCTGGAGCACTGTGTCTTAATCATTTGGAGTTTGGGCAGAACAATATTATCCCATGGGAAAAATAGATTTAACCTGGAGCATTGTCTCTTGTTTCATATGGGTTTTGGTGCAGAACAATATTATATCTTGGAAAGACATGGTTTTAACCTGGAGTACTGTCTCTTCTAACATATGGGGTTTGGTGCAGAACAATTTTCTCCCATGGAAACTGGTGTCAGTCTCCTTTAATGTAAGGGGCTCTGGGAAGAGCAAGGGATCTCTTGGCTTTTGGATATTGTTGTTTCTCCTGATTTTTAAAGAAGTAATACTGACTGTGTGATAATGTAAGATGAATGCATTGCCAGCTCTTAGGTTTCCACATGTGAGTGTGATGGGGAGGCAGAACTCAAAATGTCATTGGTGATGATATAAGAGGGGAGATTCTCTACACTAAAAGGACAGTCACCCGTGCTTTCCCATCTCAATGTGATGAGGTTGTTGGAAGTTGACCTATTACTGACCAATGACATCCATCATAAATGTCTTATTTTGCAACCAACTTCAGGCTTGAGGGTTGGCAGTGCCTCATCAAAAAATTTCCCCGAGAAATCCCTATCCCCTCTCAATGGGTCCTAGTGAGCCTAGGGAGAGGAATGACCATGTTCAGCAGCCTGGAGTGGAGCAATCAAGCCAGTGTTTTATTTCCACAGTGCCACAGAGTGATGTTGCTAGAGGGAATTGAAATGGCTAGATCAAACTGCCTGCGTTACTTAGACTACTAAACTAGAATGCATCTTTCAAGGAAGTGAGCTCAGGGAAGGTGGCAGATAAAATATCAGCCTGACCAAAATAATGAGATCTTTTCTTGTGACCAAGGATGCCAGACGTTTCACTTGCTATGTGTCTGGGCTAGATCAAGAAAAGATCAGACTTTATGGGGCCAAAGTGGTATACGAATTGCTCTTCTCTTTTTATTTTGTTTTTAGTGAAGAAGCATAGGTCCATGCAACAGGTCTATAATGAGTAGCTGTTGTCTTAACACAGCCCATTTTTAAAGTTAAACTTACCGAATTTTTACACACAGAAGGCATGTGTTGGAATAAGTGATACCATCAATGCCACACACAGGTGCATGTATTTGGGGACAGGCTGTCTTTTTACCCTTTGGTGGTTCTGGAAACTTACTGCAGTCAACCTATAAATACATTGTAGACAATATGAATAAATGCAAGTTAATGGACACTGGTTTTGAGCAAGTGTTGTTAACCAGCTGAATCAATCTGGGAACCACAAGTTCTTGTAGAGCAGTGGTTCTCAACCTGGGGTCCCCAGATGTTTTTGGCCTACAACTCCCAGAAATCCCAGCCAGTTTACCAGCTGTTAGGATTTCTGGGAGTTGCAGGCTAAAAACACCTGGGGAGCCCAGGTTGAGAACCACTGTTGTAGAGGATATCTACAAGTCCCTTACCCATCCTGTTTTCACATCACAGCCTTCACCAGACTTCAAAAAAGATAAATAAATGGGTCTCGGAATGTACTTTCCCTAAAAGCCAAGGTGATGAAACTGCAGCTGCCATACTTTGTCCATGTCACAAGGAGGAAGGACTCACTAGAAAGGTCAGTAATTCTTTGTAGAGTGGAGAGCAATAGGAAAAGAGGAAGATCCCCTTCCAGATGGTTGGACCCAATTGGAGAAGTCAGGACCCTGCAAGACCTGAGCATTGAGAACAGGGTGACTTTGAGACCTCATTCATAGGGTCACCAGAAGTCAAAGTTGACTTGAAGACAATTAGCAGAAACCATAAACTCATTCGGACCTACACAATGTTCAAAGTTGTTCCAGAGAAAGAGCATAGGAAAGCATTTTCTTTTTGTATTACTCTCTACCCACTAGATGACAAATAATTGGCAGAGGACAATCAACAAAGAAGGCAAATAATTGTTTAATCTACACCCTTAGTAATATGGGATGGTTTTGATTTCAAATTAAATAAGAATGATACTTACACATTTTCCTTTGTGGGCTAAGTCTGTTTTGGCTCCACCTCTAGAAAAAGAAACCTGAGTTAATTAAGAAACTGGCTGAAAGTGTGATTTAGAAACAAAGCATATAGTACTGCTGGAGTGTAATTGTAAACAATCTTGGGAATTTATTTTTGGAGGTAAGTCCCCAGATATCATGTGTGGTTTGCTCCCAAGTAAATATGCAAAGGATAGCATATTCAAACTTACACCCTTGCCTTGCAACATTATTTCTTTCCTCTACAACAGAGATGAGCATGTGGTGGACCTGCTGTATTATTGGACTGTAATTCTTATCATCCCAATAATTGACTTGTTTGCTACAGCTGCTGGAAGTTGCATACCAAGAATTCACATGTTTTTGTGTGATATGTAATGTTATTTTATGTGATGTGTTTAATAATGTTTAATGTTTTACCAGGGAAGGGTCAATTTTGATGTTTTATATTGTTTTTTATCAATGGCATTGTATTGCTGCCAACACTGTGAACCGCCCTGAGTCCCCTTCAAGGATTATACAAATACCGCAAAATAAATAAATATATAAATATCTGGATGGTCACGAGTTGTCAGTTTTAATCTACTTCCAAGTAAAACCTCTCAACTGCTTATTTAAGAACAAATTTGGAAGAACGTATTCAAACCTTTCTATTATTTTTGTTCTTCCAATTGTTTGACAGTTTTGTAGATGAGGCTTTTGTACTGCAACTGTCTTGCCTTAACTGGGGCTCTCCAGATGGCATTATCTTTAGTTTTTAATTGTTTTGTTACTCTACGTTGTTATTCTACATTGATTTTTTTCGCTAGAAAATAAAATCTGCCAACATGGAAGGAAAAAACCTGCATAAACTTTACTGATGGCTTGGGCAAAACTCAGTCTTAAAATCTACCATGAACCTCAACAGCACTTTGTGAGGTCATTTCTTAAGGTTGTAAAATTTCATGATCTGATCCCAAGTGTCCAGTTTACATGGACCATCTTGAAAGAGGAGACAAGAGTGCAAAATCTCCAGTTTTGATGGGTTCAGCTCAAGCAGGAAGAAAACTCACTTTGCGACAATCTGGAGGGGTTCATTGATTTGTTGAGCATGGGATCACAAGACCAGACAAAAAAGCTGAGTTAAAGAAGGACCACATTATTGATTTAATTATATTGTAACAAGCCTGGACTAAGCAAGAGGGGGAACTTACTCGATGTGGGTTTAGCTATGGCCCAATGTCAATCCTTCAAACTTACTTTCGGCAAAACACCTGACTCAAGGTGCAGTCCAAATGTGTTGCTGAAATCTGTAGAGTTCTATATATTTACTTAGTTAATTTTGTCCTGTCCTCAGTTGTAGTGCCAAGTGTCAGAGCTTWTTAAGAGAAAACTTGATGACATTGCTCAGAACAGCTGTGGTTGCATTTCATGTATAACCCTTAAAATGCATGTGCTAGTAATCTCAAGGTTGGACTTCTGCAATATGCTATGCATTTGGCTACTTTTGTAACCAGTTTAAAAACTCCAAATAGTTCAAAATAATGCAGCCAGATGGRTTATGAGAATATCTAGTAGTTTCCATCTGGAATCATCAGGACTTGGAACAAATCTGATCTGGAATCACTGCCATTTATCATAATCACTGTCATATATCACATCATGTCTCCTGCATATGTCATCAGCTGGGGACTCCTCCCCCCAGCGCCAACTGCTGCTCTGGACCACAGTGAAGACAGAGGGGGTCAGGGGACAGCTCCACCTTTTCTCCTGTGCTATGCTAATAATATAATATAATGTAATATAATATATTGTATATACATATAATATTTATAATATTATAATGTAACTATAATACTAAAAATGTATATATATAATGTAATATTACTAATAATATTACATTATAAAGGTATAGTACAATATAGTAATATTTAATACTGATATTGTACTATGCTAATAATATAATATATTGTATAGATATATATCGTGTAAGCTGCTCTGTGTCCCCTTCGGGGTGAGAAGGGCAGCTTATAAATGATGTAAATAAATAAATAACTAATTATTCCTGCCATTTAGAATAGTAATGCTTATTTAGATAGTTGTGTTGTCATTGGATAGATGTATTCTTTCTTTTTTAAAAAAAGAAAAGAAATTGTATTAATTTTTATATAAGATGCAGCGAAAGAGTGAGAACAACAAAGTATAGGAAAGTAAGGAAAGAAGAAAAAAGAGAGAAGAGAAAAAATAATAATAAGAAAACATCATTAAAAAGCCCTAAAAATATATATAAACTACAAAAATACACCCCCCCCACACACACAAAATAGATATATTCTTTCTGATTTGAACAGTGAGCACCCAAAAATCCTTGTTTTAATGTTTAATGTTTGAATATTTTAATTTATATTTATAATTTTGTTGTTTATTCAATGTCAATTTGCTTTGTACTGTGATTGTTGTTGCTGTTGGCATCTAATGGTTGCAAGTTGTAAACCGCCCTGAGTCCCCCCCTCGGCAGTTGAGAAGGATGGGATAGAAATGTATGAAATATATAAATAAATATTTAGATTTTTTTTAGTGAGTTGATTTGGGTCTTACTCCAGGAAAAAAGCAACATATAAATTAAATGTGTGTGTGTGTATACACACACATACAGATCCGATCTATGTTAAATATTTAGAGTTTCCCATTGTCCCTTTTGGAAATTATGCATTGGTTAACACCTTTCATGATTTCACCAACTCGTGCAAATGAGTGCTGCAAGAAAGTACTCACAGGATTTCAGCACACAGCGAACATTCATTGCCATAAGTTTTGTCATCAGTTCCGCAGACTGGGTCACTTTGAAGAGTGCAGATTATTGGAGTTTGTTGTTGTTGTTGTTGTTGTTGTTGTTGTTGTTGTTGCTGTTGTTGCTGCTGCTGCTGCTGCTGCTGCTGTGGTTTATACTTTTTGCAATCAAGCTATAGAACAATGACAATGAAAAAGAATAAATACATAGTATCACAATTCAGGAAAACTGTTTTTGCCCACAAGAGAGAAAAGACCTTTTCTTCATTAGTAAATATACTACTTTACCATCGGCTACCTTTACTTAGTCTACTAGGAGTTGTAGTCCATCCACTTCTCGAGGGCCACATTTTGCTCATTCTTGACACACAGAGTAATATGTTTTTAAGGGGTATTATTAAAACATAGCTTAAAGAACTCCTTGTATCACTTTAGTCAAATATGGTGGTGTTTCAATAATTGAACAGATACGTGACATAATGAATGATTGTGTTTTAGGAAGTATAGATTCATCTGTTTTTTCTCTAGATTGTCCCACGAAGGAGGACATCTGTTAAACAAGAATCGAAATTGCTCTAACGCTCCTCCCCATTAAAATGATTTGTTTTGCATGCTTTATAAGTGTATTTTCCATTTTTTCAAAATAAATCAAGTTCAGAAACATGTTTCTTAATGTCTGTCTAAAAGGACTGGAGCTGTCCAGCAGTAATCATAGGTATGTATTGTCGAAGGGTTTCATGGCTGGAATCACTGGGTTGTTGTAAGTTTTTTGGGCTATATGGCCATGTTCTAGAAGCATTCTCTCCTGACAGTTCACCTGCATCTATGGTAAGCATCCTCAGAGACCTCACAACCTCTGAGAATGCTTGCCATAGATACAGGCGAAACGTCAGGAGAGAATGCTTTTAGGACATGGCCATATAGCCTGAAAAACTTACAACAACTCAATCATATGTATGTTTACTTAGAAGCATAATCTCTTATTTTTCTGTGGCGTTTAATGCTTTATTTCCATCTTATGTATGGTGACATCTCTTTCTACAATTCTTTCAGCGCCAACTTTCATGTTCTGTTTTATGAATTTCCGAATCATGTTAAAATGCTATGGCTGACTTCAGTCTATACTTTCCTGTGCAAGTAATTGGAGTGTTTCAAAATGACAGTTACAAAGTATATGAATTTACCTTATGTGCTGAAGTCCCCGAACCTGAAAAACATTTAGGAAAAGCGTTATAACATCATTGAGAACAGTTTGGGATAGCTCATAAGTCTTTGGGATATTTCACTTGAGGGGCAAACGGTCTTCAGATTTAGTAAACCGGAAGTCCTGTATTAAAACAAGATGAATCCCTTTTATGAGTTAAGTCAGAACCCCATACACTAACACCACCACCCAAAACGAAACAAAAATTAATGTATCATTCCATCAATGATGAAATTCAATAGGATATTGTTTTTCAGGCCCTCATAAATTTAGTTTTGTCCTGCTTGGCCAGTAGATAAATCTGCCATTAATTACCAAACAATTTAATGAACCTTATCAGAAGTCCTTTGTTAATGAGTCCTTCGAAGTTGTCTCTCCCATGTTAGAGGGCTGTCATAGACTTTTACTATTCCTGATGGCAAATCAGGGAAAGGAAACAGCTTTGGATCCACAGGTCCCAAGGCTTCCTTTGACCCCGACCATGATCTTCCTTTATGGCATCACCACCAGAGCGCAATAGCAAAACAAACATAATGCCGGAAGTTTCCATCAATACAACAGGTCATCCAGCAAGGGTCTTCCTTATAGGTTATGGAGAAAATGGTCCAGTAATAGAATGCATGCTATTCAGTATTTTCACAGCCTCCCTTCCTAAAAGCATAAGATTGCTCCATAGACCCAATATATAAGACTTATATGTACTTTTCAATTATGATCCTGCAATGTGGATCTGAAATGATGGTCAGCATGGTTGGATCTTATGGGGTTCAACAAATTTTAATCAGCATTAAGTAACCAGAAATTCTTACCAATGACAACTTCAAACAATTCTTATTTTGGATATATGATCAGGTAATAGAAATGGTTATACATTTAGAAATAATTATCTTAATCAACTAAGGTAAAAGAATAGATAGCTATCACGGTTTTCATTCTGTTGTACAGAGAAAATGAAATTTATAATATGTTCCCAATATGTGTAGCCTTGAAAATGGCAGAGCAACAGAAAGAAGTCTTACCTAGAAAGAAACAACAGCTCACAAGGGAAAGGATCACAGCGATAGTAGTTATCTTCATGGTTAAGGAAGGCAGTTTTCTCTCTGGATTCAGCTGGGGCTTTGCTCTTCTCTCTCCGATAGGTTTTTGACACACTTGAGAGCTTATTTATAGTATTCTATCTACAAATGCCATCTCATTTTTTCCTGTTAACATAAGGATTTCTGATGATCCACATTCTTAAACAATTTTATTTGGGCCAGAGATGAAGCAAGAGAAATGCAACTTTTCTTCATTTTTGATATGCTCTCTGAAAATTTGCAAATTGTGTGTGTGTGTTTGCATGTCGTGTTTGTCGGGGAGGGGAGACATCCTACCAAAGAGTGACTAAAGGGTCAGGAAGTTGTTTTTTCCCTATATCCTATTCTGTATGGAAACTTGTAGGGGCAGGGTGTAAGGTGAAACAGTGTGAAGTTGGTAGTGCTGGCTCCAAAAGCAGAGGACAATGCATGTAATTTTACTTCCACCACCACTTTTCCACCACTTTCCTGGCATCAGAACAGGAAGGCAGATTTGGGGATCAGGATCCAGCCTGGGCTAAATGGCATTACACTCCCCTGAATATGCAGGTACACAGTTTGGGGATCCTCCTGGATTCAGCACTGAACCTGGAGACACAGGTTCCTGTGCTTGTCAGGAGTGCATTTGCACATTTAAAAATACTGCATCAACTCCTACCATTCTTTAAGATGGTGGGTATGGCCACGCTGGTGAATGCCTTAGGACCTTATCATATCCAGGATTAAAAGCATCTTTCCCCTACTTCTTTTTGCTGCCTGCATGGAGTCCCCTAGAGCCCATCACATGATGTAGGGCTGCTTCTGGTGGGATTCTGTAGGACTCTATTCCAGCAGCATTGCCGTAGTGAAGCTCAGAGGGGCCAGTTGCACTCTTCATAGAAAAAAGCCAGAGGAGCTGAAGACGAAGTTGAGGAACAGTGGGAAAACATTGTGGGAAGGGAGACTATGTGCCCCAAAGCGAGGTAACAAACCCTGACAGTTCATTACACTGCCCCATGATTGCCCCATGATCGCCCCCACTGTCCCCAGCTTTACGCCTGCCCATCTGATAAGGTCCTGTGTTACATCTCATTTGAATTAATGTAATGCACTCTGCAGGGGGCTGCTGGGAAAAGTTTGGAAACTTCAGCTGGTCCAAAGTGCTGTAGCCAGGGGGCTAGCTACAGGGAGGGGATGCAGGAGCTCCATTGGCTGCAGGAGCTTTGATGCAGGAGCTCCATTGGCTGCCAGTTGGTTCCCACGCAGGATTCAAAATATGACCTATAGAGCCATATACGGTTCAGGTCCAGGTTATTTGGCTGAATGCATGTACAAACCTGCCCATATCCTGAGATCCTCAGGAGAGGGCCTTCTATCAGTCTCACCTCCATTGGTTGTGGGAGCATGAGGATTTTTTTAGTTTTTAAATTATTTATTGTATCGTTTTTAGTGTTAAGAACTTCAATAAATACAGTGGAGTGGTCAAGGTAATTTTCACAGTTTCCATCTCACATGTTCCCCTTTGAGCAGATTTGAGGGTAGAGAGGCTACAGATGGAAAGAGGATGTTTCAAAATAACTTGTTATTTTCAGTTATGGAAGTCTCCACTGGCTCCAAAACTCTACGACGGGTGATTTTTTCCATTGAGATGAAATGATGGTGTACCCTATGATTACCAGTGATGCAGACATTTGACCTGAACGAGATCTTGTTAACAGCTTGTTTATTTTAACTTCTTTTATACCGAGGGTTGTATGTTGTATGTATGACTATGTATGACTATGTGTTAATTGTGTTATGTGTTAAATGTTTTGATACAGCCAATAGGCCAATCAATAAAACGTATCCTATCCTATGATTACCAGAGACAGTCACCATGTTATCCTCTATAAATATAATGGTATTGTGAATACCAGCATTTTAAGCCACAAGTTAATCAATGCTAACTTAGTCAATGAAATATTTCCATTAGTTCTGATAGAAATGAATAACATCTATGACAATTTTAAAAACTTACAAAGATGCCCACATTTCTAAAATAAAGTCTGGACATATGATGTGTATTGCACAATAAGTAAAACTTTATTTATATCCCACCCTACTTCCCCCTGGGGTCTCAGAGCGGCTCACAACATAAAAGGGAAACATTCAATGTCATAAAAATTCAATAATAAATTAAACAATACAACTAAGCAATATAAATCATTCAATCATACAAACAATCACATAGAGAAAAATAAAGCAAATTATAGTGGAATTCAATGGGATATAAAGTTCAACAGTGACAAATGCAAGATACTCCACTTAGGCAGAAAAAATGAAATGCAAAGATACAGAATGGAGGATGTGTGGCTCAAGAGCAGTACGTGTGAAAAAGATCTTGGAGTCCTTGTGGACAACAAGTTAAACATGAGCCAACAATGTGATATGGTGGCAAAAAAGCCAATGGGATTTTGGCCTGCATCAATAGGAGCATAGTGTCTAGGTCCAGGGAAGTAATGCTACTAGGGCTGGGTAACCACAGAAAAATTTGTTTCTAAACTCGATTCGTTTTTAAGGGGTCCATCACGTTTCATTTCTTTAAAGAATTCCGAAATTTTCCTTTTAAAATTTTTGAAATATACGAAATTTCGTAAATTTTGAATTGATTCGTTAATGGCGGACGCGATTGCGCAATACGCTAAAAAAACCTCCAAATATGCTAAAAATATGCTGAAAAAACCTCCAAATGGGACAGGGGGAACTTCTAAAGGTTCCCTCTCCCTCTGTTGTTGACTGTTGGTGTGATAAAACAAACAACAACTATAAAACTTGCACCAGGCATGCGAAAATAATTACGAAACAATTACGAAACAATTTCGAAACAATTACGAAACAATTACAAAACAATTACGAAACAATTACGAAACAAGTTGAAAATTTTTTCGAATCTATTTAACTCTTCACACTATTCCAAAATGGCTCAATATCGGATCGTAAGCTAATTTAAATACAAATTAATAACGAATTACGAAATTAACGAACGAAACCGCCCAGCCCTAAATGCTACCCCTCTATTCTTCTGTGGTTAGACCACACCTGGAATACTGTGTCCAATTTTGGGCACCACAACTGAAGAGAGATATTGAGAAGTTGTAATGTGTCCAGAGGAGGGCGACTAGAATGATAAAGGGTCTGGAGAACAAGCCCTATGAGGAGCGGCTTAAAGAGCTGGGCATGTTTAGCCTGCAGAAGAGGAGACTGTGAAGAGATATGATAGCCATGTATAAATATGTGAGATGAAGTCACAGGGAGGAGGGAGCAAGCATGTTTTCTGCTGTCCTGGAGATTAGCATGTGGAGTCATGGCTTCAAACTACAGAAAAGGATATTCCACCTGAACATTAGGAAGAACTTTCTGACTGTGAGAGCTGTCCAGCAGTGGAACTTTCTGCCCTGGAGAGTGGTGGAGGCTCCTTCTATGGAGGCTTTTAAACAGAGGCTGGATGGACATCTGTTGGGAGTGCTTTGAACATGATTTTCCTGCTTCTTGGCAGGGGGTTAGACTGGATGGACCCCGAGGTCTCCTCTAACTCTTATGATTCTATGAAAGTCACTCTACTGCAAATGGTGGGAACATGTCACTGTGTCAGGTTGCTTAAACTAATTGATGCTGGATCTTCCATTTTGCAACAGCAGAATGTATAACATAAAAATTGAGTAACAAGGAAGTGTTTCGTCCCTTTTCTTCATTAAAAAGTCATATAAGGAAGTTGTAGAAGCACAGTGGGGTCCATAACTGACATAACTGGCTCATTGGCAATGGTTGTAAAATAATGCAACAAAGAGTCTACGTGGCAGCATTTAGAGCAAGGCCAGCATTATTTTCTACTTTGAAGAGGATAGTTCTCCACAGGGAGAAATTTTGTCTTGAAGGCCTATCTGCTCCAAAGGCCTATCTGTAACAAAGAGGTCCAACTCATTTGCTGCCATTGTTGGAACAGTGGATGGCATCCCATACCTCCACCCAAGACAAGATATATACCATAGCTTTTCAAACATTTCATGCTGGTAACATGCTCTTTAGACATGCATCATGTCGTGTTAACAGTAATTCAGTTTTAATAGCATATCAGAGGTTTAACCAATGTTTTATAATTTTTATTGTTTAATTTTGTTTACTTCTGTTTTGGCTTATCTTGTTTCGTTTTTCTATTGATTTGATGTGTTATTATTCGTTTCTTTCTTGCACATCTTTTGTGTTTATTCATGTTGTGAGTTGCCCCGGATTCTTTGGGGAGATGGGGCAGGGTGAAAATAAAGATGATGATGATGATGATGATGATTAACTAGTCCCTTATAAGAGAAAAAGGACACCACATATCTCATGAAATATTTTCATTTATATTTTTAAAATATATGGTTTTTAAGATACATTTTCAAAATCATTGTCAATTATGGGTTACAATATGTAAATATGTGCAAGAATCTAAAAAATCATATAACTCTAATAAATAAATACTAGTTAACATTTTAATGAGATGTATGAGGTTGATCTGATGGACACAGCATTTGATTTTTTATGTGGAACTAGCTGTGCCCTGCCACGCCTTGCTGTGGCCTATAGTAAAACTTATCAAAGTTGAGGTAGATATCTGGACTATTATGAAAGAGAGGTACCTACCTATTCCTTCCCCCTTTTCCTCCCCCTTCTCTCCTTTCTTCCTTCTCTACCTCTTTCTTTCTTTCCTTCTTTCACTACTTGGTTTCATCCTTCTCTCTTTCCTTCATTCCCTCCCCCTTTCTTCCTTTGCCTTTCTTCCCTCCCTGTTTGCTTCCTTCTTTCTCTTTTTATTTCCTTTTATTTCACCACCATCATAACAATAACAATAATGCAATGCATTGCCTCTGGGACCTGACACCTCTCCCATTCCCCCAGGGTCTAATTGGAATAATAGCATAATAATAATAGAAATAACAACCTTTACCCGCGCATTACTGTGGCCAACCTTCCCTCTTTCTCTCCTTCTTTCCCTCCTTCCTT